TTGCAGCAGCCATACATTTAAAGTGCAAAAAGAAAAAAAAATACAAATCTTTAAACATCTTACATGAAATCAATATATTACCTAATGTTTGCTGAGCAAAAAGATTTTTATTACTAACGTTTTCAACCTCTATAGTATGGGTCATCCTCAGGTTTTAGAAAATAATGTAAATGTTCCAAAAATGGAACGTATCGTTTTTCGAATTTATAATATTTCAAATTTAAAAAGAATTAAACTAATTACTAGAACCGCTGTATAATAAATAAACAATAAAATAACTAAATGAATAACTAAAAGTACGTATTAAACATCAAGTTAACCATAGTGAATATATGATTTCAGGGTTTTTAAGTCCCATTCTTTTTTCTATTATATATTTCCACGCTGTTGGAAGTGCATTAGAATCCCTAGCATTTAGGAATCGCTCTTTTATTTTGCTTTTGTAAATTTATACTTTTTCCAACGCAATGAATGAGAGTGCACTGTTTTAATGACGTTCGCTTTCTCCCACTTTACAACTGCTCCTTCTGTTTATGCCATAATTTGTGCCATAATCCTTTTCCAACGTTGTACATATGTTCGCTCAGACGTACTGCAAGATTTCTTCGATTCACACTAACATAATCTTTTGTAATTCCTAACTGTTGGTTTTTAAACGGTATTTTATATACTCCACATTTCTCTTCCTTTTTTAGTTTGTCTTTTTGGTTTCGTAATAAACTATAAATATTGGGTGCCCTTTTATAAATCATTCTCGACTTTTTATAAGATGCTAATTCATTCGCAGCATCACCCAATCGGTTGTTGTATGTGAATTTATTAATTCTATCGAAGTTAGTACGTTTTTTATTTTTATTTTCTTTGTAACACATCTGACCAGCCCTTCAACTGTAGCGGTTTTGTAACCTAAATTCGTTGCAATTGTATTAATCTCTTCGAGACAGTCCTGAATGTTGGTACAATGTAAAAATTCCCTTTTGATTAGTGCCTTAAACGCCGACAACATATATTTTTATACGGGTCGTTGGATCAAGGGTGGAGCACGAATGGGTTTTAAGTATACACTTGTGTGTTTATTTCCTTATATTAATGTCCAAGAAGTGGAGGTGAGTAAAGCTTTTTAGCTCCAGTTTTAGTTTTAAACCATGATTATTATTGTCGATCGCAACTAAAAACCTGAGGATGACGTATACTATATTCGAAGGTAGGGGTGTAGAGTTTAAAGAATTGTTTAATATGAAGTATAGTCGGGAATCTCAATAGTAAAAGAAATATTTTTTATATTTTACATTCATACCGAATAAAAACATGTAAAAATAATTAATTTTACAAATGCAAATAATTTATAAATTTACCATAAGAAATATAATTAAAAGCTGGTTCCAAACAAATTATAATTATCAAAATAGATATTTTTGCAACAAACTAACATAAAATAAAAAAATTTCTCACGCCAACTTCAAAACTCAAACAAGTCACTGTGAACAAACGACTAAGGAAGAATAATTAATGGGTTGATACGTTACACATCAATAATAGTAAATATTAATTAAGTAATTAATTATTTATTATATACCAACTATCAGATCGTCTTAAAAAGACTTGTTAACAGTGCCGTAGCGTGGGTGTCAGCCGCCCGGGGCGGAGGAAAATTTCGCCGTCCCCTTTAGGTATCTCAATTTAAAAGACTAAAATTCAGTTTCGTCACAGAATAAGTAATGAAAAATTCCGTGCTCATTTCAATCGGTCAAAAATATGAAATGAAATGGTTCAAATTTTTACAAGATTATTTATTGTGAAATTTGTCGCCCCCTAAAAGTGCCGCCCCCACTACGCTACGCCACTGCTTGTTAATTAGAAATAATAGCAATGTCAACGTATTAAAATTCAGCAATGAGATGCATATCATTCCTGACAAAAAGGTTAAAATTTTCTGTGGCCTCATCTGTTATGAAAGTTTTTTTTAAAAATTTCATATTATCAGTTATTATAAAATTGCAAAAAGTTTAATTTTCAGGGTAGAAATAAGTTTTGAAAAGTTTGTAAACTTAATAATGTGTAAACCATCATTAACCACACATATAGGCATAACAAATTTTCTTTCTCTTTCTCCTCATCTTTCCGATCTTTAACCACCAAAATTTCACAGTATCAATGTCGCTCGTCTCCAAATCCCCATGCAAAATTTCAAAACGTTTCGACAAAAGGCTTAATTAAACTTCAAGTTAATGCCTCTCATACAAACACTAACATCAACATATACTGAAAATCCAGCAAGAATTTTATATTTATTTATATATCGCAGTCTCTTCAGTACACAAATGCAAAAATTTTGGGATCATTTATTTGATCGACATTCCTTTCCTCTGTTATACATAATAGCTGTGTAAGTAAAACTTACAAGAATGTAACGAGAACTTCTAAATTTGATATTTGTTTTGTTTTAATTATCTGTTTATATCTGAACATTCAGTAGATTATTTGTGAATAACAAATAATCTACTTTATTTTTGGATCATATTGAATATGCTTAAAACGATAAGATCTTACCATTTTAAGCATGTGAGAATGTGGGCATATATTTATCAGTTACTGTAAATTTTGTAATTATCTTTCAGTGTTCTAGGAACAGATCTACAGATAAATATACATAAACTTAGAGATTTATCAAAATGTTATGAAAAAAATTTGTATTTATTTATTAAATATTTATTATAAATTGCACAAATAGCCAGTATTTGTTTTAAACTGTCTGGCTGTATCAGTGTCGAGAATAATAAAAAAGGTGCCTGGCATGGTTGCCCATTTCTGTTTTATCGTTTGTCAATGTGGCCGTTACAATAATTATGATACCATGGTACATATATTGCCTTATCGTAGACTACAAAAAAAATAAACAAAAGAATTTTTGCATTGCGAACATGTACAATACTGTCTCCCTGCGATTACGTTTATATAGCCTATAACCAACTGTTGATAACAATGGAAATTTAAGATACACTTGTATAAGTCTTGAAATTGCCACATATTAAAGAGAAAAATACTGATGTTTTAGCCTTTTGCAAGAACTTATTTGCTGTTACTAAAGTTTTTTCCTAGATGTTTTTACAAGACTCGCAGATCGATCAATTATAGTTTATTGTAACATTAACACAAATAGGTATACTGTATTATAAAAATATTATAAACAAGAAACATTAATTGTGAAATATTTCTTTACAGGTTTTCAAAGAGGATTTATTCAAAGTTATATACCTTTTGGTAATAACAATTATTTCATATATGGCAATCGGGTGAGTGTATCAGAAAATTATAACATATATTTTTTCATAATTTATATTTTTACAGATATGAATTATAATCTAGAAATTATAATTTGTATCTTTACTCCACTCATGAATTACTGTATTTCAATATTAAAACGATTAGTCTTTCTGGTGCTACGTTTGTCTGTCTTAAAGTAATTGTTGTCAGTTAACAATCAGAATATTAAAAAGCAATTTTTTAACCTTTACAATAGTTCACATTATACACTGGCGGAAATTGAAAGTGTTACACCCAGATGGAATTGATAGAAATTCACGAAACTTGGTAAACATGTACAGGGGCCTACCCAGAAGAAATGAACACAAAATGAAATGTACCAAACAGCGATAAAACGCAAAGTTTTATCGCTGTTTGGTACATGTTTCTGTAAGAGGTATGGCCACCTTGAGCTTGGATACACTCTTGGATCCTTGCAGGCATTGAAACAATAAGTGCTTGAATGTCTTGTTGGGGTATATCTCTCCATGCCTGCACAACTTGTGCAATCAGTTGTTGTACAGTGCGCGCTGGATGGCTATGAGACGTAATCCGTCTACCCATGGCATTCCAGACATGCTCTATAGGGGATAAATCTGGAGACTGGGCGGGCCAATCCATGATTGTGACACTTTGCAAGGCCTGTCATGTGATGACAGCAACATGAGGACGGGCATTATTTTGTTGGAAGATACCGTTTTGGGTAGTGTTCATGAAAGGTATGACTACTGGATGGATCACCCTGTCCACATACTGGTGGGCGATCATTGTGCCTTCAACAACCTGCTGTTGTAATTGATTACCCCCCCAAACCATGACACCAGGAGTTTGACATGAGTGGCATTCTGAAATCACAGCGAGGTGGGCTCTTTCTCCAGCACGCTGGCGGACATGTTGCCGACTATCACAGAATTTGCCTAAACAGAATCGGGATTCATCACTAAACACAATTGTATGCTATTTATGTGTCCAATTTTGTCTAGCAGCCGTTAGCCGTTGTTGGCGATGAAATCTGGTTAAGGGAACACATTGCATGTGAGTCCGAGATTTCAGCCCAGCATCAAGCAATTGGTTTACAATTGTCCATGGGGTGATTCTGACAGTAACTACTGCTTGGATATGTGCTGCCATCGCACATCTGTCAGCAACTGCCATCCGCACAATATGGCGATCTACACGTGGCGTCGTCCTTCTGCGTGGACCCGTGCCAGGTCTGCGAGTACTGGACCCTTCCTGCATCCATCGTGTGACCACTCTTTGTACTGACATCGCACTACGGCCAGTCCTTCAGGCAATTTCACGATATGATGCTCCCATTTCTGACATGCCAATTATCCAACCTCTTTCAAAGTCAGACATTTGGGTGTACGGAGTTCTCACTTGTCGATATGACATAGATGGTCACCAACAACATGTGGACCAAAAAAAGTCATGTTCCATAACACAGTTCACAAATTATAAACTAAACATTATAGCAATTTTGCATAACAAGTGTCTCCATAATTTCCATACCACTGTATGTACTTCATTTAATTTTTGATCATTCAATACCCTTCAAAAAAAGATTCTTTTGTCCCAATTTCATGTCTTTGACAATATTGGGTGGGTGTAACACTTTCAATTTCCGCCAGTGTATTATGAAAAATATCTTATTGTAAAAAAAGTTTTAAAAAGGATTTAATTTTACATAATACAATAACTGTTATTGAGTATTATTATAATTCTATTTTTGTTTGTAAGATGAATGATTAATTAATATTTAATTTATTAAAATGACAAATGTTCTTAGTTTATTTACAGTTAATAATGTCAAAAATTGTTATTAATTAAATTAGATACGCTTCTAGCCCAAAGTTATCTATAAATTAAACGTTTAGACGATTAGTTACGGCTGTAATTAAAAGGGTTCATGAGAAGGAATTCATCACTGAAATACCAAACCAAAATATTCAAATATAGTTTGAAGTTAGTTGATATTGGGAATGCATTTCAAGTACTCAGATCTAGCATTAGACCATTGAAGATTAGACAAATAGTAATAAATTATGTAAAAAAAAACGCAGTTTACAGACTGAAAAATATTACAAAGAATACACTGCATTGTGTATACAATTAGTCCACAAATTAATTAAATAAAACATCAAAAATGAAAACCAATTAGAATAGTACAATTCAATTGTAAAAACAACCGATGGTTGTAGACCGTCAGCAACTGACAAATTATATATCTGTCTTTATTTATGTAAAGCTTCATATTGATGCTATCAATGACAAATTATCATAATTTATATTTACATTCAATTATAAGTAACTCAGAAAATTTTGATGTATTTACACAAATTATGTTGGAGTAGGTAAACTCGAATTCATATTGACCTATTATATTATTACCATTAATAATACAAACATTTGAGAACCAATGGCAATGGCGATTCTTTAAATTATAATATACATGTTAATTTGCCTATCTACAATATTAGGTACTGTATTACTAATAGGCTAACGTATTTTTTATTATTTATCAATTCCATGCTTCATATTTCAGAATTTATTACAAATGTATCAACAAGGACCAATGAGACAGGAGCTTCAATCCCCTGGAATGATTGCATATGGGCTCCCTCCTTCTATGATTGGATATGGATCATCGCCACATATGATTGGTTACGGACCATATCCTAATATGATTGGTTACGGACCATATCCTAATATGATTGGTTACGGACCATATCCTAATATGATTGGTTACGGACCATATCCTAATATGATTGGTTACGGACCATATCCTAATATGATTGGTTACGGACCATATCCTAATATGATTGGTTACGGACCATATCCTAATATGATTGGTTACGGACCATATCCTAATATGATTGGTTACGGACCATATCCTAATATGATTGGTTACGGACCATATCCTAATATGATTGGTTACGGACCATATCCTAATATGATTGGTTACGGACCATATCCTAATATGATTGGTTACGGACCATACCCTAATATGATTGGTTACGGACCATACCCTAATATGATTGGCTATTGGCAACCAGCAGAAATGGTTGTTCATGAATCGCAACCAGGAATGTATTATGAGCAGTCAGAGCAGCAGCTGCAGCAAGGACCGCAGCAAGAATTATCTGAAATTGAGCCGCCAATTGAAGTAATTGAATATCAGCAGAAACCACAGATTCCTGGTAATGAGTCTTCTGCCCAGAATACTTCAACAGAAGAACAAGATTCGAATCTGTTATTACAAACGGGCAACTTTTTATCAGATCCGAATTATCTGCCTCGTAATGGTAAATTTTATCAATATTAGAATAAAAATAATATGATAGAAATCTCAAACAATTATATTAATGTTAACATAAGTACAGTTACATGAACAGTCATATTTCATGAAACTGCTGAAAAGACCAATGACAGGAAGAATGTAAATAGTTTATCTCCGAAGCCCATGCTTCGGAATATAGGTTATAACAGCGGGAGCCATCATCTGTATAATTAAATTTTAATTACAAAGCATTAAAAAATCTATACAAATAATTTAAAATGTATTAAGAAAAGAAAAAGGCGATAAATCTTTCTGTTCCTGGTTTTTCATATCTATTGTTGACTTTTCAGCAAAATTTTCGAGCTTGTTAACTACAGTATATAATTAACCAGCTGGAAAGTCATGGCATTAATCTTTCAATTCGAACATTAATCAATTCTACTTTTACTTGTGTTTACATATTTTCTATATTTGAACATTTTTAGTCAGCGATCAAAGTTATATTGTATCTCTGAAATCCTAATATTATTTATCCTCATTGTTGGATATGCGTAATTACGCTCACTGGTTAAATGAAACTGATAAAATATCTCTCAGAAAGAAAGAATTTTATTCAACAACAACTAATTATTGAAGATATTTTTCTATTTCTCAGTCATTTAATTTATTGTAGCTTTTATGTAACGTCATATAAAATTGGTATGAGAAAAAAATGTAAAAATAATAACGATTATTCTAAGGATATACAAATGGAATTAATCGATTTGGTCTGTAAACGGATCAATGAATTATTAATGTTATAGCTTCAGTTAAATGCTTGACTATAAAACTTCACACTTAATACAACAATTTATGTACAGTACATTAGTAATATATTGATAACTTTTGTGCTTTTCCAATCATAATTCAATTTCCAGAAATTATTAGAAAAAAAATTAATTAACGTTGATAACGTTTATAACAATATATATATGAATTTTTAAACTTTGATATAAAGTTATAAATAGAAAAAAACCATAAAAGTAAATAAATACGCTCAGATAAATCTGAAAAATTTCTTTTTCATTAATGATTTGATAGTTTTTTCTCTTTACGCCCGTTACTATTATAATAACGTGTTGTCCTGGAGTAAATTTTTAATTTTTCTGTTTTTTATACTTTAGTTTCTGAATCAGCTGATGGAAGTGGAATTTCTGAGAGTAATTTAAAACAAAATATTCATCCAGTCCTTAATTCAGAAAAAGACGTTCTGGATGACAATGAACCAGAAGTCAGGGAATGTATAATTAAAAGCACTACATTTTCCGATATTTTTGATGAATCTAATGATACAGAAGAATACTCTGATGTAAGTATAAATTTAATAAAATAATTCCAGACAAGTTTCTTATTTTCTTTGTCGTTTGGAAGATGATTGTTGATAAATACGACGTTCTTATATTAAAACGCATTTAATAAATATAAGTTACAATTCATATAAATTCACTTCATATTATTTATGAAGTTGCTCGTAGTTTAGTTTTTAAAATTGATATGTTCATAATTGATGCAATATTTCAGTTATAGATTATATTTAGCAGTAATTTATCTGATTTTAGGTGAAAACAAATTTATTAAGCGTAATACTTAATAAATATTTTAAAATCTTAATTTTCAGAAATCTGATCAAGAGATAGAACTAAATGTTCCTCTATCTCCAGCAGAGATCACATCGAGTGTTTATAAAGAGTATAAAAAACGGCCTTTGCTTAGAGATTTTATCGAACTCGAGCGCTATTCATTAGTTTCGGAAGTAATTTATGAAGAAGAGGAACCTGAATCTGGAGACGATGGATCAGAAAGTGATGGTAGCTTTCATTCAGACACCATCTTCATTGATTATGAAGAATGTGATGTTAACATTAGCACAACTGATGTTTCGGACAACTGTAATACTGAAAACAATGCATCAGTAATTACCGAAGAAGAAAAATCTGTTGCAGACTTGTCTCATTTAGCAGAAAAGAGTAATTCTTTGATTTCGTCTGCTGAACAGAAAAATCTAAATGTTCCTCTATCTCCAGAAGAAATCACGTCAAGTATTTATGAAGAGTATAAAAAACGGCCTTTGCTTAGAGATTTTAGCGAACTCGAGCGCTATTCATTAGTTTCAGAAGTAATTTATGAGGAAGAGGAACCTGAATCTGGAGACGACGGATCAGAAAATGATGGTAGCATTCATTCCGATACTATCATTGATTATAAAAAGTGTGATGTCAACATCAGCGGAACTGATTTATTGAACCAATGTCATATTGAAAACAATGAACCAATAATTGCTGAGGAAGAGAAATACGTTGCAGACGTATCTCAATTAGTAGAAAAAACCAATCATTGACTTCTCTAGATGTCAAACTATGCAATTCAAATTTATCTATCGACGAAACGCCAAACGTTTCTAATGAGTTTTATCGTTGGAATACATTTAGTAACGGATTTGAGGAAGTAGAAAATCAAAATAAACAAAGAAATATTACAATCTAATTTTGACATTGTAAAGCATTTACAACTTGATAAGAATTATGCTGAAGGTGCAATTGAAGTTGAAAAAGGTAAGATCATATCAATAAATAGTTAAAGTTATGTTTGGGACTATTTTTATAATTCAATACCTTTCAGACTTTTTTCATAATTAAACAATTATACAAGTTTTAAATTCATTTGCATAAAAAATGTTTACATAATGATTAGATAATATTCGTAGATCTAAAGTATATTTCAAGTATTTAAGTAATTATGAAGTAATTTTAATAAATAATTAAACATAGAATTAATTGCATATCTTTAGTCTTGTTAGGCTGTTTGGTATAATTTTTATTATACGTATTATTAATGACATTAGATTGAAAAATACTCTAAAATTTCGTTTTTTAAATAAAAAATATCTTATTTTTGTGATTACTGTTTAATTAACTATTTGAATTCAATCAATGATTGTTTCACTCTGTGCGCTTTGTCATGCATAAGTGGCTAATTATTATTTTAAGATAATTTGAATATTGTATTGATTTTTGACGGGTAACGTAACTGGATGTTTGAGAAGCGTATCCATTCTGCTGCAGTTTATTGTTGTTATTGAATTTATAGTTAATGATGTGTTATAATTTTTATTAAGAGAAAAATACGACAAGTATGCTTAATTTACAATATCATTTGATTTTCAGTTGTGGATGTCGATTATTCAAGTTTACCAGAAGAGGAATTATCTGCAAAATCTAAGAAAGAGGTTAGAAAATATCTTTCACTTTTACTTTTACTAGTTTAATGAATAGATCTTCATCTTATGCTAAACTCTCACTCACGATCACATATTAATTTTATGATTTTCATTTTTAATTCATTTTTTCAAAATTTAAAAAATAATATTGTATTTATTCACATAGAAAACATTGTGTTTTATTAAAAATTATAAATGTAACAATATTATATTATCTAAAAATTGAGAGTTTAAAATGAACATATCACATATTGATGTTGATGATTTTTAAAATTATTTTTATTTAAGAACGACTAAAATTGTTTAAAAATTAAGTACAATTTTTATATTTATTTACTAAAGTCTTTCTTTATCGCAAATCTTTAAGTCATGAAATTCATTTAATCAGTCCATTCGTAAATATATAATGTTCATCTATTTTTAATAATATATAACAACAGAATTTCAATAAATAACTAGTTTTTTCATTTATTTATATGTTTTTTCACTAAGAGAAAGTACACTAATATTTAAATAATAATAAAATTTTTATATAATTCTATGAAACATTTTTAATATTTTTGATTTATGAAATGTTTTTCTATTTTTTTTTTTTTTTTTTAGGAAGAGAGAAACTGTGCGAGTCTCTTTTTATATTACTTTCGCAGACTTTCAAGTTTGCTTTTTTCTTGTACAAAATCAAAAAAGTAATCTTCGTTGCTCATTGGAAGATGTGGTTTTGCATAAAATGGCGTTGAGTGTTCATAGATTTAGTGACAGCGAAGTTTTCACCAGAGAAGAATCAAAGGAATAAAATGCAAAGTTCGGATGTTTTAAAATTAAAAACTATAAACGCAAAATTTAACAAGATAAAGCATTTTCTTCCTCTGAACCGTTTTAAAGACTTTTTACATCGTTGCACGATCGAGTCATCTTCCGTTTTCTCTCATCAGAGAGTCGTTTTCATTTACCATCTTGAAGTTGATTCAACGTCTTATATTCATTTGTTAATATATTTGTTCTCAAAATTTAAAATTTATCATTTAAAAACTGAAACGCTTGTATTGATATAAATTATCAATAAAAATTATTTCAAGTTTTTCCTTTTATTGATTCTATTATTTGATTTTTGACTGTGTCGAATCATTTAATTCCTGTATATAAATAACAATATACTATACTTAATACTTATTGAACACAATACATTTAACACGAGTAATTAACAAAATTTGAACAAGACTTCGTGCACTGTTCACTGTAAATAACGAATAATCGTTATATTAATTATTTGCATTGACTTTTGTGTCGTATTTAATAGTTAATAAAACTTTAATATACGTAAACATTAATATATACGTAATATTTTTCAATTATGAATCAGAAACAAAAGTAATTTTGTGTAATAATTTTTTTCCTATAATATCACAGAAAATTTATTAGTTATTTCTCAGTTAACACTTTTTATCATTGTATCCCAATAGAGAGTAGTCTGCTTTGCTGCTCAATATCCACCTTTATCAATTCCATATTTTATGCTAAAGGGCCTGTATATTGTTTAATACAAGTCTTTTCCTACTATGAATGATTTAATCACAATCATTAGTAATAACAATGTCCGATTCCAGGAACTTTATTACTTGTATAATATGTAAATAGTTAAATACATAACTTTTATATAGTTTAAGTGCAGGAACATGCATTTTTCGATTTGACACGAGTGTGGTATTCCACAATTTTCTGTATCTTTGTTACTCTTTTATAATAAATTTGTGAGTTAACATTTTACGAAGGAAAAAAGGCAAATTTCGGATTACATAGTTTACAATGGACAGAATTTTGTCGACATTTATGAGTGATATTTAATTCATCTACTGAAACTGAATTTTAAATCGATTATCAATTGCTAAATAGCACAACATTTTGCATTTTCAAACGTTACAAACTCTTCGGACAAACGGTAATTTTTCCCCGTTCGTTCCATTGGCAAAGTAGTTTCTTTATAACCTTACTTTTAGTTTCATTTCCTTTTCTTAAATCATGTTTTAAACCAATCTTTAAAGGATTTCTCGCCTAATATGTTAGAAATTTCCCGGTTTCGGAGCGTTTTCACCCGATTATATTTCGGCTTTCATTACAATCGTTCGTTTTATATCGAAACTTAACATCCGAAAGTGAATAATTTTCCTTTTGAAAATTCAGTTTATTGAAAAGGAAAAAGCGAAAGTAATTTGTCTGACTCAAACAGATATTTGAGACAAAGGAACGATTTTAATGTTATAAATTCGAGTAATTCGAATTTCTAACTATAAAACAGCGAACCAATACAAATAACTTACAATAAACTGCTGTTTGTCACTATTGCTGGAATTGTATTCAAAACAGGTAAGCTACATTAAACAATACCGAGAGAATAGAGAGGTTGCGGCCGACGTTTTCAACGCGAAAACGTCGGCTGAAACCTCTCTATTATTTCCCCTCTCGGACGTCCAGCAAAATTCAACCCCCTTCAAAATCTTTATCACTTTATGCATAATAAAATGTATAAATTGTGTAGAATTTAATGAATTAAAACGGACGTCCATTAAAGTTTAACCTCTTTCTCCCTTCCAGTGTGGACGTCATTTATGGGCAGCCCCTTACTGGTCTCCAGAGGATTCAGATCAGAACTTTAAAGCTGGCCATTCAACTTAAGTGATACGGTACTCTCCTTCCTAATACAAAATCACTGTTTTCAGTTAGAAACGAGTTGGTATTATCTTCTTGAAAACTAATTCATACACACAATATTCTATTTACTCCTTTGAGTACATAAATTACTTCTATATTATTTTGTTGATCTATGAATAAAATGTATGGTTTCATAACTAACTTTCATGATCATGTTTTATAATTTATCTTTGCAATAATTTTCATTAATTTTAATGAATAAAGTTCACATTATTCAATTAGTTAATCAATTTTTTTAGGTATAAACATGGTCTTATAAATTACATACTGTAGAAACAGTATTTAATGAGTAAATAAATATTGAATAATTAATATTAGGATAACACCACTGAATGCATAAGTTGTCATACACCATTTATTCATCTTTGCAACTTGACATGGAGTAAAAAATCAGGAATTAAATATTTTCATGCAGCTCTTTTACACACAAAACAAGTTCTCAGAGCATCATTTACAAGTTAATAGAACTTGCAAGCATACCCTTCAATCATATAGAGCAGGGATGGCCAACAAGTCGATCGCGATCGACCGGTCGATCACGAAGCCAATTTTGGTCGATCGCTCGCGATGTCTTGAATTAATGTGTTACACTTGTAACCGAACGTAACGCGCAAACGCAAATGTAGTGCTATTGCACCACCGCGTCCTCCCTCAGATGCGGTTTTGTCGGTCCATGTGCTATTCATTTGCATATAGTTGTAAAAGGGGAATAAGAAATGTAGACAAAGGATCGTAAAACAAAAAAAGTGGGAAGAGCGACAGAGAGTGTGGTCGGGACACGGTAGAAAGAGGAAGGGTGAAGTGAAGGTCCCCGAAAGTGACAACGTTGAGTTTCAATTTTTCTTCTGTTTACAATGTAAGTACCGTTTCTTCAGGTTTTAAATTAAATTGTGGCTTTTCTTACCTATCTAAACATAGTATGTATTTCACACCATCCCCTCACCACTTAGACTATCCCTACGACATCAAGTCGATCGCGACACATTTTTAAGATAAAAATAGATCTTACGTACACAAAAGTTGGCCACCCTGATATAGAGCACATCATGATGATAATTTCTAATCCATGTTTGCTAAAACATTCCTGTGTCAATGTGATAATCACATGCATACATACATCTGTAAGTGAAGATAGAGACATCTGCATAACCAAGAATTTGTTTCATTTGAAAAAAAAAAAAAATCACAAAAATATTTCATTGGGATTTTTGCATTGATGTCTAAAGCAATAAAGATAATCCATGGATATCCTGTATAACGTTAGCACATTCATTTTATTTTTTGTTTTTAAGTCTAACAACTAAAGTAATATTTATCATCAGATCTTTGTGTGTATTATGTTTAGGTTCTTCCTTGAGATAAATAATAGACAAAATGCAATTTAATAGAAACTGTGCACATCTTTTAATACATCGAAGTAACAAAAAACTCGAGTATAAAATTTATGTACATCGAGAAATATTGACATAATAAAAACTTACATCAAGATAATGTGTGTGCTTATTTAGCACTCTGTACATGTTGAAGATGATGCTTATAATTTACACAATAATTGTAAAAAATAGGATTTGTGCTCTTTATTTACAATGATAACAATTTGATGAATGTCGTTTATTTTTACAATCAAAATATGGATTCATTTGTGAAGAAGCTTACTTTGCTGCCATTTAACAACTTAATAAAATATGACGTAAGTAATTCTGTAAGTTGAAACTAATTTAAGTATGCCAACAACACTGTTTAATATCAAAATATACTATAATTTCATTTAAAATATCAATGTCAGCATTCTTTTTGCCTGTAAAATAAAATAATTCTGTTTTATGTAAGGTGTGTTGAATTCAATTGAAGGATTTATCCTCGTGACAATTTCATCATTGAATTTGTACCAGACAGTCTGTTTATTTCTGTCCCTGTCGCAAGAATATGCAACATAATGTCCCGATGATGATGTCTGATGGCCCAGATGAAGAATCACCATACAATTCATACTGAACTGTACTTACTGAAGTCTGCATACTTTTATTGGCTCCATTTCTTGATGCAGATTTCAATATTGGAACTTCAAAATTTGATATGGGTATATCTACAGACTGATGAGTTTTTAATGTAAGTTTTTTGTTTGAATCAAACTGAAACCTTAAAAGATGCATTACTAAACACTTTGGTGCCTTACACAAAAATGTCTGTTTTATCCACTTCTTGCTTTGAGTTTTCTGTGACATATCATGTCTGAAAGGAGAGCAATATTCATCATTGGGAGGTATTGGACTCTGCACAACACTACTGATTGGTG